GCCGCTCCCAATATTCAGTTAGCCGCTCCCAATGTTCAGTTAGCCGCTCCCAATGTTCAGTTAGCCGCTCCCAATGTTCAGTTAGCCGCTCCTAGTGTTCAGTTAGCCGCTCCCAACATTCAGCCCGCCAGTGTCAACATTCAGTTAGCCACGCCCAGTATTCAGTTATTCACGCCCAATATCCAGTTTTGCCACTCCCGGCATTCAGTCACCGTGTGTCAACATCCAGTTAATCTGTTTCAGTACTCATCTAATCTGTCCTACTATTGATTGAGCCGGTCCCAGTATTCAAGAGCCAGTAGTAACATAATTCACTGGGTAATATTGTTAACATTCTACCCCACCGCAAACTTTATAAAATTGCAACAAGTATGAAGGATCCACGCCCAGAATTTATTCTCTTCACTTATTTATGTTAACAATTTTCGGAACATTTGTTTGGTTGGCTATCGCTGCCGGTTTTTCCCATCCGGGATGCCTGCCGAAAATGTGATAACCTCTGAAAGTGTGATAATCCCTGAGAAATTGATAATCCCTGAGAAATTTAGCTTCTCTTCATGGGTGACAAAACAACGTGACAAAGCTCCAGTAAAGGTTAATATAACCTTTTCATGCGAACGCGCTTTGTAATGCCGGGTTGCTGGGTTTGATCCCAGCTGCGGACAATTTGTTTTGCGTTGGTTTCGACAATAGTACCAAGAGCTGACTGTTCAAAAGCAATGACAAACTATTGAACGTAAAATTTGCCTAAAAAAACCACAACAGTCAAAAAATGTTGTTTCTGCAACGTCCTATAAAGGATACGGAAATAACATATTATGCAAGACATATATTTTTTACTGACTAATCGGAATTAGATGGTCGTTATGGATAACCACCACCTGCTGCCTTTACTTTCCAGGACTTTACCTCGATACCAATTTTAGACCGTTTCTTCTTCTTAGTGTTTTACCGTCTGGATTCTCCGGCGGAAACTTCAAGTTGTTCGTCCACCTTTAGACTTTAGTCTTGTTCCAGAACCTGAATGCCGCTTGCGCATCCTTTTTACAGAACTGTCTTACCCGTATGCAGACTATTGGTTCCTTGCCTCTCAGGCAGATGCACTCTTACTTTGAAGAAGCCCACAGTTAGTGGACTCTTACGACATGCTTGTGTGTTATCATAGTCGACGTCATTGCACATAATACACTCCCATGTTGCCGCTGTCAACATCCAGTCCGCCAGTTTGAACACGTCAACATTCAGTCAGCCACCCTTAACATTCAGTCCGCCAGTGTCAGCATTCATTTTGCCACTCCCAACGCTGAGTTAGCACTCACAGTATTTAGTTAGTCACTCCCAATGTTCAGTTAGCCGCTCCCAATGTTCAGTCAGCCGCACCCAACACTGAGTCTGCCAGGGTCAGCATTTAGTTAACAACGCCCAGTATTCAATTATTCACGCCCAATATTTAGTTTGCCACTCCCAACATTCAGTAAGTCGCTTCAAGTGTTCAGTTAGCCGCTCCCAACGTTCAGTTAGCCACACCCAACGTTCAGTTAGCCACACCCAACGTTCAGTTAGCCGCTCCCAACGTTCAGTTAGCCGCTCCCAACGTTCAGTTAGCCGCTCCCAATGTTCAGTTAGCCACGCTCAGTATTCAGTTAGTCCCGCCCAATATTCAGTTTGCCACTCCCAGCATTCAGTTTGCCACTTCCGGCACTCAGTTACCGAGTGTCAACATCCAGTTAACCTGTTCCAATCCTCATCTAGTATGTCCTACTATTGATTGAGCCGGTCTCAGTATTCACCAGCCAGTAGTAACAGAATTCACTGGGCGATATTGTTAACATTCTACCCCACCGCAAACTTTATAACATTGCAACAAGTATGAAGAAATCCTCGCCCAGAATTTATTCCCTTGACTTATTCATGTTAAAAGTTTTCAGAACATTTGTTTGGTTGGCTATCGTTGCTGGTTTTTCCCACACAGGATGCCAGCCGAAAATTTGATAACCCCTGAGAATTTGATAATCCCTGAGAATTTGATAATCCCTGAGAAATTTAGCTTCTCTTCATGGGTGACAAAACAACGTGACAAAGCTCAGACATTCCGTTCAACATGTAAGGAGATTAGAACTGGGGCACCCGTAACGATCATGCTAGCCTGTGTGGGTACAGTTGGTTAACTAAGCTCTCTGAACATAGTTTTAATTTGTTAACTCATTTATCTTAATCTTCTTCTGTCCGTTCCCCCTGCCAATTTTTTTTTTTGGATAAGAAGACCACATACATCTATGAAGCTTGTGGTGCGACACATCTCTTCCACCATTCCACGTAATTGGTTTATATTGGAATGCCAACCGGGCAAACCTGAGATCGCTCTATTGCATGTAGAGAGCATATATGTAACACACAGGTTCCACAGTTGTAAAGATTAATGTACCCTTTTCACGCGAACACGCTTCGTAATGCCGGGTTTGATCCCAACTGCGGACAATTTGTCCACGACCGGCTCCAGCTGACGGGCCGTGCTGCTGACGTCACCGGGTCGGGCTAACGATGCGTTAACGCAGCATTTCTCAAACTGGGTGCTGAGGCAGCCTGGGGTGTCCTGAGCGTATGCCAGGGTTGCCGCGTAATCAAGAAAAGTCGGCTAAAAATTTGAAATAATGAAGAAGGCATGTAGATACTTAAAGATAAAATTTAAGTTGTCTTTCCTTGCCACTGTCGAAAATAGTTTATATCTTGTTTGAGAACCGCTGCGTTACCGCATCGTTAGCCTGACGCGGTGACGTCAGCAGCACGGCCGTCAGCTGGAGCCGGTCATGTTCTAATCATGACCTTCTTGTACATATGGCTGCGGTAGACTGATGTGTCCAGTTTGCAGCATCAACACACTGGTCTGTTGCGTTCATACAAAGAGGCTGATTGGGCTTTTTGGATTGTATTTCTGGATGGAAAATGTTTCAATGGGTTCTATGCCTATCTTTTATCTTGATCTGGTTTTTTTTAATTTTCCTTATAAGTGCATCCTGCAGCTGGCTGTTCTGTATTGTTCCTAATTTTTTGTTTTAATAGATGATCACGCGCTCTTACATACACACGTGTGTGTTACAGCTTTTCCCCATGGTAATCAGTCACTTTGTGACGACAGCGTTCTAAAGATGTACGCCTTCCCCAGTGGAAACTTCCCGTGTGTATTTAATCACTTTTAAATTTAGTTATAGTATATGTGTTTTCAATGTGGTTACTTTCTATGAAAGGATATCTGCTATAAAAACGTCACAGGACTGTAAGAGTTAATGTTTAAAATTACAGTTTTGAATGACTGACTGTGGCTTAGAGGTTAGTGAAATTCTTTCAATGTTTAAACCTTGATGCATCAGGGTTCGATTCCTGCGACAGGCAGTATAGAAAAGAAATGCTCGCACGCCTTTCAGAGAATGGTACAAGAATCACACCTTGGAAGAGATTAGGTCCTCACCAACATAACTCACAGACAGCCAACCTCCATTGAGGAGATAGCACACACTTTTTTGTGTTGAAAAAATGCAGTGATTCCTCGGCCTTTTGACTGCTCTTTTCCTTAGAATTCAGCATCGCAACTACTGATGTTTAGACAACCTTTACTTTTTATGTAGGACATCTCTGTGGTCAAATTGTTTGCTTCCCTTTCAACAGGTCATGGGCTTATTTCTGGACTGTGCTGTTGGTTCACAAGTAAATTTGGTTAAAAAAAAGAAAGATTTCAGGGGGTCATTGATGATACTCGAAGTTGGTGCAAGATATGTCTTTGTTCACAAGATTTTTGTTCATGCTACATAATTCGTGCATTGTGTGTCATTGTTCTCAAGATGTTTGCTGGTGCTACGGAATTCATGCATATGCAAACCATCCTTGAGTTTTTCAGTGTGTGTGTGTTTACCAGTACTCTCATCACACCTTTCATGCTCAGTGAAGCTTTCTGCCACTTTCATATTGTAATTATCATCATATGGAACAGTAAACAAATAGTCAAAAACCCACTTACCCATTTGTTTGCCCAAGGGAAGAACATGCCCAAGACAAACAGACCAAAATAGGGACCATTCAGGAGGCCATACACAGCATAGGTAGCCTGTTGTTTGGAAAGATGTAAATAATGAACAGTGTTAATCTGATATCAGCTGTTGTTTCATTATTTTATGATTATTATCAGGAGCCTTGCCAAATGGCGTGGGCGATCATGTCTCTTCACAATCTGCGATCTCCTGCAGCATGTATCAGTTCGTGTGCCGACACACCTCCATGCCATGCAACAAGACTGTCGAGAATCTGCTCTCGTTGTCTTCCTCTATCCCTCCTTCCACATATCTTTCCAGTGGTCACAACATGTTATATTATCCTTCTTCTCTAAATATGGCCGAAAAATGATGACTGTCTCCTTCTGATGTTTCAAAACCTCTTGGTTGCTCTTTTTGGCTGTCCAAAGTATTCTAAGCATTCTTCTGTAAAACCACATCTCTGAGGCCTCAAGAAATTGTTTGGCCTGCCTACCGATTGTCCAGGATTTTATTACACACCATAATAAGTGTAAACTAATAAATATAATGGGAAATATAAAGTTTAAAAAAAATTATTTTGTGTTTATAAAGAAGAATTATTTATTTAACCTGAGAACAAGTAAAGTCTTATCTTGGCTTTGTCACTAACAACAATGATCAATTTTAAAGATGCCTGTTTGTTGATACTCGTGCATTCCTTTCTCAGACGATGACGGATAACAGAAACTGACGGTTAAACGAGTGACGGGTAATCGAAGTTTTCCTGTAGAAGTAAAGGAAGGAACAGAGGGCTAATGAGTCTAAACTCATATTTGTGTAGACCTGTCATCACTCGAAGGATGATGAAGTCAACACCACATCAGCCGGCGCTACTGACGGACTGACGTCCAGCCCCACCAGGACACCACACCGAGCAATAAACACCTGATGTCACAAACTGTCACCACCATTCGGATGAGGATCACACGGGGACAGGTTCTAGAAACTCCGTTCAACCCACATATTGGGTTAAATTAGGGCCCCTGGGAACAATCAGTGTGGGGCTTTAAAAAAAACACGAAATAAAAACAATTTTCCGACAGTGGGACGCAGTGTTAGGATAATGACTTCCTAGGACCTGGTATCCATTTAAGGCTGGCTAGACCTGGCAGACAAGGTCATTTCTGAACAAAATCCAAATCAGTGTGGATTCAAACCCCAGCATAGCAGGTGAGCATATAGTAACTATGCCATCGTGGAACACATAACATCATCGTCAATCAGCAGGTCGTTTACAGAATTTGAGTCTCGTCTCGGTACGCCTGAAACATACACACACACACACACACACACACACACACTCTCTCTCTCTCTCTCTCTCTAGCCAGTTCGCCAGCCCCATGTGCTTTCAAAGCTAACGCATCTTCAAAGTCTTGTATCCACATTCGAAAAGGTCGTCTCTTCCTCGTTTTCTAAAAACCGTACTCTCCATCCCGGTTCTCTCCAGGCCACCATGAGCTTTACCATGGCTAAAATACCTCAGTTTTCAGAGACACCAAGTATCAGCTGTGCTTATTTACGAAAACATCTGAAGACAAATGGAAAGAAATATAAAAACGCATGCTCCTAAGCAAAAGAACAAATAACCTCACCTGCATCATTCCACCCATCTGTGACACAATCAAAGCCAAAGCTATCGACAAGAGGCCAAACACCGCCACTGCCAGAGGATAAAAATGTTCTTCAATTATTCTGTAGAGGTGTGAATAATTGATTGGCATCTATCCGTCTTTCCAGACGTTAGTGTTATGTTGTGCTATGTGGAGGCATGGGACTCACAGCCCATGGCAATGGCGAGTGTGACTAGCAAGACCCGCCCTCGTTACGAAGTCTTCCACAATTGTAGCATGAGATTTCAGGGCCGTTGTTGTCAATTTGTGTGTTAAGTCTGTTTGCTGTCAGACGGCCAGCCCTCATTCTTTCTGCAATCATTTCTTCCTTCTTTCTTTTTTCCTTTTTAATGTGCCTCCTACACACAACAGGATCAATCTCAGTTGAATCTCTGCAGCTCTCTTCCAACGAGAAGTAGTTGTTAGATGTGGCAGTTGGACTTCCGAATCTACAACTATACATCCCGGCCTGCGACACGGATAACCATTATCTCCCGTTCTGTTCAACATTTACACAGTGAAAAATCACAAGTGAGCAGATCACAGGAAAGAAGAAGACGCTGTCGTACGTTGATGATGTGTTAGTGTATCGGCAGGGTAAAGACAGAAAGCAGGTTGCTGGAGAACTACAGACATAAATCAACCGTATAAGCAACTGGTGAGGTGAAGCGAGTGCAATGTTCAATCCAACGATGACAGCAGTAACGTGGTTCTCTATGGACAACCAAATTGTCAACACCCCAACCCCAACTGTAAGTCTGTGCTCAGAGATTGCGGAAAGAACACTGGCTATGCGATACACGGGGATACGATTTGATCGCAGCCAGGCTTATACTAAACCCATAGGTTAAGTTGCGTATCCTTTACAGGACGTTGCAAAACCAACCCCAGCAGCCCCTGGCTGTTGTGTGGTTTCTCTAGGCAAATTTACGTCCAGTAGTTTGCCATTGCCCCCTGGACGGTCGGCCTCCTGATACCACTGTCAAAACCAACGCAAGGCGCATGGCCCGCAGCTGGGATCAAACCCGGCATTACGAAGCGTTCGCATCGACTTACCCACAGAGCCGACAAACCCATAGACCAGGTGATAATAAAAGCCAAGGGGGCTTGGCAGTGATGAGAGTGATGGCTGCAGCAAACAGTGAGCAGCATCATTTATATCTTTTATATCAGGGTCTGGTCCTTTCTGTCTGTGAATATGTGATGGCCATCCTGACTCTCAGTCATAAGCAGATGGAACGGATGGAAAGGATACAGAACGAGGCTATGCGCACAATGCTGGGATGTACAAGTGATACAGCTTAAAGGGCGATGCGCTAACTTTTCGATTTTCAAACCATGGAACACAGAACTCATATTTGCCGAGCAGGTGCCAACGCAGACACAGGACACCAGCTGCATGGTGAAATTAGGAAGAAAAAAAGGCAGCAGGTTAAAAAGAGAAAAATCGTGGATGGGCCAGGCCGGGGACATTATTCACCAGGTGCATTCACTTGTGGAAATAGAGCCTAGTGAGGATTGGGTACTAGTACCAACAGAGAGCAGCACTACCTTTTATGTTTGCATCCGTCTAGACAGAGAATGCAGACAAAAAAGTCCAGCCGCTGTTGAGGCAGAAGTGCAGGCTTTGATTTTCGAGAATTCTCTACAGGGGGATGATGTCATTTACACAGATGGGTCAGTAATTCGTCATGTGAGAAGCTCTTGGGCTTTTACTACTCAGGCTGGAGTTAGAATTGTGAAGCGAGATTCCGGTGCTGTTGCACTGAGCAAAAGAAGTCTGACTATGGAGGCCAGTAAGAATAGAAAAATGGCACTAAGAATAGTTTTACAGGTGCTCTGTCTGATTTCTCTGTAGCCAATAAAGTTTTTATATTATTGGTTGGAGTCACGGTGTAGTGGATAGATATTCGCCTGACGGCCCCAGTAACATTAAAAACCTCAGTGACACAATGATTTGAGTCTTATCAGGCAGTGCAAGCTACTCAGTGACAATGTAGAGCGTGACCATTCAAGTTTACTCAGAGGCCAAAATTTTGGGAAATGACGATCGTCGTGGGCGAGAAACCCAAGCCAGCGCACAGAAAGACCATTACTGCAATATAACTGATCCACAGGCCATTTGCTAGTCCTCTGTGGACCAGATTTGACCACAGGCCGCTAGTTGAATAGCTCTGATGTAGAGGTTGCCATATTAAATTTTCTAATCACAGTCTTCTTCTTCTTCTTCGATCCTTCTGTCAGAAAACTTATATCAGGAGGCCGGTAGCCTTTATGAAAGCTATCGTGCAATCCATATCCTCTTGTGTACCATACAGTTTTGTCTTTATTGTGGTTGGAACAGGCCAGATTGCGTCTCTGTTGTCAGCATACAGTTGACAGTGTTGGAGCACATGCTCAGCATTTTCGGGTGCCACGCTGCAGGGACACGTCTCCGTATTTCCTACACCGAAAAATTTGAACATATGTTGACGAAATCTGTTGTGCCCTGTCCTTAGTCTGAAAATAATAGACTGTCCCTCTCTAGAGAGGCGATGAAGTGAGTCTTGGGGAGAAAATCTGCTGTGGGTATCCAGCCACCTTTCTTGGATACTAGATTGTATTAGTGTTTTCATCTCTTGGTGGGTTAAGTCGCTTTTTGGTTGTACCATGTCACTGCCGCTTCTGGCCAATCTGTCCGCTATTTCATTGCCTTCCAAGCCACAGTGACCTAGAATTGTAAACACTACTTTTACAGTCAAAAATCATACTGTCACCATAGCCACTGATTTAATTAGACACGAAATATGTCCCTGCACATTGGAAATTTTCATGAGTGCTCAGTCCTTAGATGCAGCAGCCACTTTAAAGTACATCTACTGATTGTTTTCCATGTGAAGTGGTCAAGCCTTGCGCTCTGGAGGTCGTGAGTTCCTATCACAGACACGTCATTCTGTTCACAGGTGCAATTTTTACGGAGATATGTAGGATCAGCACTGGAGCTGCAGAGTGTGCACTGCATGACGCTCCTGGCAAGTGGCTAGCCATTTTGTAGGGAAAGATCGAGCCAAGTGTGATCAGACCAGGTCCAATTAAATCAATCCTCTCGACTATAATTAGAGAAAGGTTTTGGTTCAATTCCCAGCAATGGCAGGACTATGTTTTTCCTGATCACTACAGTTTTGAAGTTGACAAAAAAAAAAAAAAAAAAAAAAAAACAGATATCACACAATTGTAAGAATAAACACAATGCAAAAAACAAAAAGAGCTGAACATATGAAATTACTTAACATACACAATGAACCGAATATACAAAATAAACTGAACATACACAGTGAACTGAACTTACACAGTAAACTAAAAACATGTGATGAACTGAACGTATCTAATGATCTGAGCCCATCAAATGAGCTGAACTTACCTAAGATTTTATTCAGAACCGTAGCTGCAAATTCGGAAAGTCTTTTGCAGCAGAAGGGTTCACAGAAATCTTTGTAGACAACCGCGGAGACAGCATTTAGCGCTGAAGACAAGGAGCTAGAACACAAGAAGCGAACAAATACATTCTTCAGCCTGTTATCACAAGGGCTTTTTTTTTTAAATCAAGGAGAATTTGGGAGTGAGTGAACAGTGCAGAGGCACAAATAGATCGTTACGGTGTGAGTAGAACGGCGCTGCGGGAAGCTACCAGGGGATCTGGCCGACGCTCAACAGCGTCCTACCCAGTCCTAGAAGTGGTAAATTCACCCGGTAAAGATAGTTTTTACACAAAGTGGCAGTCTTGGTAGAGCAGTGGATAAATCCTAGCCTATGTCTCAAAGTTCTTGGGTTTGACCCTGCACCAAGACTGATGTTTTTAAATAACTAATCTTGCCTTCACATGTCAACGCATGTTACTTAACATGGGTATCAGGAAATGTCTTGGGAACCAAATAACCATATTACACAACTGGCGCTTATTGATCAAAAAAGATATTGGACTATAAAGACATCGGTTCACAAAAATATTTGACCATAAAGACTGGTATGTAAATAAAGGTCTAGTATCTTATATCGGATGTGCCATCCGATGGGAGAAGTCCTCTTTATTTATATAAAGTATGCTGTAGGTAGGTAAGTTGTACCCCACCAGAACATCACACAAGCGATAAACTCCCGGTGACACAAAGTGCCACAATATGGATGAGGATCATATGTGGAGAGGTCCCAGAAATCCCTTTCAGCCGTGTGTGCCCTTTAGGAATAAACTCACAGGGAGCAAGTACAGCAGGGATCTACCAGTCGTCAGTAGAAATCTCGTCAACGAGCGTTTCGGCCCACGATTCCTAGACGCTTTCGGAGGTGGGCCCACCTGAGTTCATGAAGCTCAGGGCTGGTTCCATGCTGCACGAAATTACCGGATGGTGTTTTTCTTTCGGATAGAGACAAGACGACTTGGTGGTTTGCAAAAGGTACTGTGAGATAAGAAGTCGTTGCGGCAAAAACCTAGCGTGGGGCTTCAGAGAACAAAAAAATTGCATCCCACATGGGGACAACTATCAAAAATATGAAGTATGCAATTCTTTAAGCAAGGAATACAACATGAAAAAAAAAGCAGACTCAAAATATGATGATAATTTGTACAAGTAGATAATGTAGGCATTGTGAACGCAGCTTCGTAACTCCATGGTCCCAGATTCAATTCCAGGTGGAGGTGATTTTGCAGCAGACCGCCTTGCATTAGTTTTGACAGCGGTACCGAGAATCGACTATTGAGAATGCAATTGCAAACCACTGAACGTAAATTTGCCTAGTGAAATCACAAACAGCAAGCGCGCGCGCACGCACGAACGCACGCACACACACACACAAATCATGGTTTGGTTTCTGCAAAATTCCGTCAAGGAAAGGCAATTGACTTGTTAACTACAGTAGAATAGTAAATACAACAAAAGAAGGACAAACACTGGTATAAATGTGATAACATGACAGTCGTGATATTTGTTCATTCATGATATGCAACAGTGATGTCACTATGTTTGCTGTCTGAGAAAGACGTGCTCGGGCGTTGTAGAAAGACAAACAGAGACACAGAGAGAAAGAGAATGTGGAGTAGAGTGGAGAGAAAATTGTGCAACAGTAGAGTAAATTTAGAAGAGAGAGAGAGAGAGAGAGAGAGAGAGAGAGAGAGAGAGAGAGAGAGAGAAGGAGGAGAGGGAGATATGAGATGAAGAGAAAATGAGATAATTCTAAAGAAGATAAGAAAGAAAGATAAAGATAGGATGAGATGCATAAAGACATAAATGAGAGAGAAAGAGAGAGAGAGAGAGAGAGAGAGAGAGAGAGAGAGAGAGAGAGAGAGAGAGAGAGAGAGAGAAAAGAGTAAACACCATGTTACGATTGTATATTTATTTTAAAATTACCGACATACTAACATACACTCATAAATGGTAACAATTGATTCACATCCCAAACAGGCAACAGTACCTCAAGCTGCCACTGAACACGCAGGAAACGAACAGGCCAGGTAATCCATGCATGTCTCCAAGAATGTCCATCACAAACAGCGGTAACAACTGCAGAAGTTCAACAGTTGAAAAAAATTAAGTGTAAAAAAGACATTCAAAAGTATAACACTATAATAAATTTAACTAGATTTAAGAAGTCCCGGGTAGTTAGCATCCTTTTGATATTCTCTAAAGGTCATGCCGGTATGTTGGGAAATGAGCAGGCAAATAGACTGGCTCTGAAGCGATGCTTGCCACTCTGCACGAAGCATGCCCGTTTTCACCTTTATCAACATGCTCTTTGAGTCAGTTACAATCATGGCATGTGTTACAGCTGATTCTTAAGCCAGCGGAAGGCAGCAATGACTGCCTCCACCTCCATTCTCAAACTAGACGTTGTAAGGCTTTTCTGCACTAGGCGACGTCCATTCGCTTTTGCTTTGAAACCCTATGCTCTTCGTCTGCCTCCTAACACAGAGCCATCTGTTTAGACAATCACATCATTTGGGCGGGAATTGTCATGAATCATTTGTTGAACTTCTGATTCTGCAGCACCAACTGGCCAGTGTCTGCACTCACGACCTAACGTGATTATAACCCTACGCAAGTCTGAAACTTATTCTGACACCTTGACCCACTTCTCTCGATCGAAATTATCAAGCCTGCACACATGTCCAACTGTGTTTTTAGCTTGCGCCATCCAAAACCTTCCTCTTTTCAGTCTGTAACCTTTAGCTCTACCCAGGGTTTCATGCAGGAGGTGTTTCTTGTTAGCAACTACTCTGAGATATGATTTTGCCTGCAATAGTAGGCAGTGCAAGTATAAATCGCATACATGTCGTTGCTGGAGCTAAAGATTTCGTGTTGTGTTCGATGCTCTCGGAAGACAGCTAACTAGCAAGTTTGCAGAAAGAGATTTAACCATGGGGGGGGGGGTGGGGGGGGGGGAGGGATTAAAATCTCGCATCTCGAATTTACACCTGAAAATGCAGCTGGGGACCTAGTTCCCATGAGTCCAAATAAAAGAATTTACAAAATTGGCGACCGAGTCGCTTACTGGTCAGCGGATGGGTAAATCGGTCGCGGGTCAGTGGTTATGGAGGGAACAGGATCCATCAATACTATAAAAGTCATTCTAAGGCAGTGGCTCTCAACCTTCTTAATGCCGTGACCCTTTACTACAGTTTTTCACCCCCCCCCCCCTCTACCAACCAAACACTTACTTTCGTTGCTACTTCATTACTTCAGTGAACATGTGTTTTGCTATGGTCTTTGGCGACCCCTGTGACAATGTCTTTCGACTAAAAAAAAAAAGGGTCGTGACCCACAAGTTGAGAACCGCTGTTCTAAGGACTCTTGGTAGGTAATTATTTTCAGGGCTACCTAATGGGGAAAGATTGAGCCATGAATATGGCGAAAATGCCCAGAACATAAATATTACCTTACACTATTGGGAAGACTGGCTACCAATGCTAGGTTGAAACAGGTCAACTTTTATTTTATCCTCTTCACATGGAACAGAACAGAATTGACAGCTGGTAAAATATACAAAGATAATCCATATGAGCTGACCTGATCAGGACTATCGATGATTCCCAGGGTCAAAGGGTGACAGTCGGCATAAAAGGCGAAAAGGACAACTCCAATGAGGATTGCAATGATAATAATTCCGATGAGCCCAGGTGTGTTTAACAGAATGGCGCTGTAAATATAACGTAATAAAAACACATTTCAATACATTTAATCACGTTAGGTGAATACCACTTATTTGTTATGTCATTCAGCACTTGATGGTTGAAATATGGTCAATAGTCACACTAATTCAAGGGCACTGGAATCTGGAAGCTCAGGCTCACCGTCTCATTTTATGGGGGCAAAAAAAAAAAAAAAGGACGAAGGGGGAGGGGTCGTTACCCTAGAATTTTGTAAATAAGTTTCTTTTCTTTGGCTAGTTTCTCTTTTTTTTAAGGTCATGTATCTCTTTTTCTGATCAGATGACATTTTTCCCAAGTGGGAAGCTTGTGATTAATCTGTAAGTATTGCTTTATGGGCCGAAGGACCCCCTTCCCCACACCACCTCTCCCACGCACGCACGCACGCAAGCACACACACACACACACACACACACACACACAGAGAGAAAATGTACGAAGGAGGTTTAACACCCCCTATACATTTACCCATTTCATATTATTTCAAACACATTATTATAATTATTATTATTATTATTGTTGCTGGAGCTACTGAGTTTGTGCTCTGTGTGGGGCTCTTGGCAGGCGGCTAGTCGTCTGCGGAGAGAGACCGAGCCACATAAGATAAAGCAATTAAGTCGATCCTCTCAACTTTAACCTCAACCTTTAACCTTTTGATAGTGAAGTAAATACAAAGAAAGAAATTATGACACACACTGGCAAGGCATCAGCAGCCTTACAAAGCTTGAACAAGAAACTGAACACTAAATTGGGTTCTCCTTAAAACTACGGCCACTTATTATGGATTACGCCGGAGTTCAGTCCCCTGCCCGCATTGCAATTACGAATTGGACAAGAGGGAACGACACAAATGACGTAATTACTGTGTGTTGGCGATAGATGCACTGCTGTCATAACAGGGTTAGGGTTAGGGTTGGGGTAGTGGTACTCCTTAAAACTACGGCCACGAATACGGGAAGGGGACTGAACTCCGGCGTACTCCATAATAAGTGGCCGTAGTTTTAAGGAGAACCCTAAATTGTATAGTTTTAAAACTAAATTACTTATTTTCAATTCTAATGTTGTTTCACTTTTAATATCTGCAAGTGAAAGTTGGAGAATCATCAAGGCATGGAACGAAAGTTAAATGCATTCGAAAAGAAAATGTTTGAGGACAATGATGAAAATAAAGTGGGATGAATTCAAAAGGAATGAAGAATTAAAAGAAATTATTGGACAATCACTAGTATCAACAGTTATAAGACCGCGAAAATGGCGCCCTGGACATATCCTGAGAAAAAAGGGGGAAAAAAATAACACAGCAAAGAATCACCAGAGAAGAATTAAAATAGGAAATAAATGGACGGGGAAGGCAAGGACGCATAGAAAAAACCCTAAGATGAACGTTGGCGAGGGAGGCCAAAGCTGCTGGACTGGATTTCATCCATGATATTAAACTGATTGCATATGATAAAGCAGAATGGAGGGACAGACTGCGAGCCTTATGTGACATATAATGGCACAACAGGATAATGAAGGAATGAACGAACTGCAGCCTAAAAGGTTCACACATCCACTGACTCGAAGTTTTACTTTTCACCTACGAATCCTTATTTTTCTTCTTCAAGTTCAGGCTGGAAACTCCGACGAAATCTCCACATCTGGACTTTTATCCGGCTCCTGTATTGCAATCCTGGTTTACTTTTGTGCACTTTTTTTCTCCCTTTCTGCCTACTGCGGCAAATGTTGAATGTTGAATTGAGAATTGACATCTTAGCACTTGGGACACTCTCATAAGTGCTTCGTCTCCATCTTCAGCAGCAAGCGAAGAGTTCAAATTCCGATGGCACCAGTAACTGTCTGATTATATATCCGTCTCGCTTTTCCCTTCATTTCTAAGCGTCGGCCAGATCCCCTGATAACGCCTCAAAGCGCCATTCTCCTCACACCGCAATGATCTATCTGTCTCCGCACTGTTCACTCGCTCCTAAAGGGCCCTCACAATATCTAGCTGATCATATATCAATTCACCATAAATTGGTGCAGAATTGACCATTTTATCTACCTGTTTATTTTCCAACACACCGGCAAAACCTGGAGAACATATCCAAAGGACGCTAACTACACAGGACCTCTGAAGCTATGCTTGCCGCTCTGCACGGAGCATGCCTGTCTCCACCGTTTTCAGCATGCTCTGTAAGTCGGTTACAATGACAGCATGTGTGTACAGATCAGAGAAATATAGATATGTCTTGAGTATGAGCCCTTTGTCCTGGTCCACCATCACGCACAGGTAAGCATTTCTGCATCCCGGAATCCAACGATGCAAAACCAAGACACTGCATTCAATCACTTAAAACCACTAGTTAGTTAGTTAATTAGTTAGTTAGTTAGTTAGTTAATTAGTTAATTAGTTAGTAAATAAGTCATTTTGTTAGTCGACAGATTATCCTCATTGCACATCGAACCATTCAGTCCATAAGTGCTCGGATCCCCTCCTTGGTAAATCACGCAGCGTGTGGCGGCTCAGGACACCAGTTCTGTACTAGTTTCTTATTCTTCTTTGACTTCCTGCAGAGTGCTCTTATCTGGCCACAGCCTTTTAACAAGTTTTTCTTGCATTCTGGTCATGGTTGCAGTTTCACAGTCATCACTTGGTTCTCGCAAAAGTCTCACTTCTGATAGAACATTCAGAATATCAGCATGGTCCAATACATTAATATTAGACATACGTTGCGATTACAAAGTAATCCCATGTGCTGTATAGGTCTGATAAAAAAAAAAGTTCAAATACTAACATTTGAGCTCTCCGGACACTGGAGGTTGAGAGGCATCTCTGCACCTGAGCCTGGTTGACGCCATATAGAGAAGTCCACATCATTGCTCCGCCTACAACCACTGACCAGACAGAATGTCTGGTTGCTGGATCAAAGCTAAATCTGAATACAGAAACACACATGTTGTTGATTTATATTTAGCCACATAACAACATTAACATAATATTATATTTAAAAAAAAAATAGTTTACAACCATCCTCCTCTTCCTTCTGATCCACTGCTTTTTTCCTCCTTTTCCTTCTGATTTTCCCCTCCTCCTTCTCCTCCTCCTTCTTCTTCTCCTTCTCCTCCTTCTTCTTCTCCTTCTCCTTCTCCTTCTCCTTCTTCTTCTTCTTCTTATTCTTCTTCTTCTTCTTCTTCTTCTTCTTCTTCTTCTTCTTCTTCTTCTTCATTTCTTCCCATATGTTTTTTTTTAATTTTTATTTTTTTTTTAAATATTTTCTTTTTTAAAAGCGGCTATAGATTTTGGTTAACATACAAATGTAAAATTACACACACGATAGCATGTAAAGTTAAATATCTAATCAAAGCATGTAAGGTTACATATAGGACAGAAAAATGTAAAGTGAAGTTACATATATGACAGAAATGTGTAAAGTTACAGATGAACAGTGATACATGACAGTCCACACCCCTCTTGTCATTGACCTGCCCACTCTATGTAAATGAGGCACTTTCAAATCTTGAAGTTTCCTCTATTGTAAATATTTCTTCTTTTGTACTTATGTGTCAAGACGTCGGGTTAAGTACTCAATTCTATTCTAATTCTCTTGGGAATAAGATATATTTAAATTCAGTCATATAGGCGGGAGCTTCATTGATAGTGAAGCCAAATTCCTTTAGCCTAACTACCGCTTTGGACGCGGATGAATTCCCTCCCGCCTCTAAACTGTACGACAGACATGGCCAATAAGACACCTTTTTGGGGGGTGCCTAGACGACCATGTTCTTAGTGCACTTGTATCCATGGCGAGGCGCAGACGGAGGTGACAGGTTCAATTCCCGGCACGGTAACTATAGCTTTCGATTTTTATGTTGTCTAGTGTGTTGTTCTATCTTTCTACTTCTTTCTAGGTGTGCCGATCAATACACTTTCTGTAACTGGATTAACTCTAGCTGGAGAGACGTTTAGTTTGAACTCATTCTTGACTGAGCTTCCAGATGAACAGACGACTTGCTGCCTTTTTCTGTCTATTCGCTTACCTCCGTTTGAATCACCGATTCACCCGGGGACGCCCATGAGCATGGGTAAGTACAATATAGATTATTAGTATCATTCATATAGCCTTGCTGCTGAGTGTAGGAAAGAGGTGGCTATGTGAAGCAACGGAACCTGGCTGTCAAATCACTCAAACTGCAGGAGGACGCAAAACTAGAGCGTTCCCCTTCAGACAGAGGAATTTCTCTCCTCGGACTCCTTCAATGGGTTACTGACAGCTTGAACATTATGTATTCATTTTATAATATGACTTTTCACATTTAATAGAGATATATACCGGTAACTATGGGAGTATTTGGAACGAACGGGTCAGCTGGGGTCATGCTAGTTTCAGTACATATGTGACGCTACGTACTTCCCTGCCCAAAAGTGTAAACATGAAACGGCGGCGAGAAAGTATGATAGCTGTATCGCATTTGTGTGGCTCGTGTGCGTTTCATACATCTGTATTCCTGTATTTGGGGTATACTTGTGTGCCTGTAAGTATCCTATTATGGAAAGGAAATAGTGTTATCCCGCTATAAGTTGGCATATACAGACTATCGCTGTCACTAGATAGCAGCATTGGACAGAGCTTCGTTTCCTTCTAACCTCACAGCTGTCAATGGGAATCCTGGGATTGTTGCAGACTTATGCAGTATATAATAGCCTAGCATAGACCTCTAAGCAGCTCTATGTGGATGTAAGGAATGAGGGATGAACATGGTATAGTGTTTGGTGATTGCTAACTCTGGTTTTCCTCTTTGTCACAGGATGTTAGTAATATCTGGAGGCCAAATCGACATTCAGTATTCTAGCACTATCCTGTGTAACCCACACCCAGCTTACAGGGTGAGTGATCCTCAGAAAACAACTCATTCCTGTCCATGCACCAGGTCAGTGGCTCCATTGCCGAAAACTGTATGTTGTTTTGCAAGGTGCACCATAAGCTTGTACCTTCAACCAAAAAGACTTTTATGTAAGGGGTTGTCAACTCCTGCTACTACCAAAGGGTGGCATCAAGTGATCTTGAACTTTAACTCGGACACATATTCCGCGAGATAACTATTCTTAACGCTTATATGTCGTATAAAAGACATGTAGCACAACTCTCTTCTTTTTTGCGTATGTTGATGCCACACCCAGGTTCGTCTTTAGGTTTGCTACAGGAGGAGTCTATTGGAAGATATAGACGAGGAGAAAGATGGTCGTGTCGATATTGGTTATGATGATGATGTCTCGCTAGCTGCATGCTTCTCAGGTGACTCTGATGCTTGTATAATAAAATGGCTGGAAACAACAGTTCTCGTCTACACTGTCTTTATTGTGATACTTTAACAATGTCACAAATACATCAATGATATTATGAATAGCGCTGTGTTCTCTCTATGGCTAAATACTCGTAGGTTTGCGTTGTGTTCTTCATCTTTAGTTACTTTGTTAACTGATTCTAGTGTCTCTAACTGCCACCTGGCTTCTAGTGCTGTTTGTTACTAACGTCTTGAGCGTTGACTCTAACATCTCTATAGTGTTCCTAATATGTCTCTGTTCTCCATGGATCCATGTATCTTGTGTGTCGTCTCTATAGCTCGATGTCTCGTTTCATGTCTGCTCTCTAGTGACTATCTTCGAGGTTCATATGAACGGCTGCTCTCCTTCCAGTGTTGAGCTGGCATCGAGGATCATTGAGACTAGTCGCTCGACCTCTGTGTCTCAACAACTGAAGGCTTCTAGTGTTGGGCTAACATCTCTACCACTGAAGGCTGTCTTAAGAGTCCATGTGAGTGGTCTCTCCTCTCTTGAGTCTTGTGGACTGAAGAATTGCTAAAGTGCTTTGTTACTCGCTATTTAAACTTAGATGCTAGAATGCCATTTATTTGTTTTCTTCTCGCTTTGTCTGCTTCTAGAATATTCTAGTACGCCTCAACTTGTTTACTAGGTACGTTCTCACGTGGGATTTTCTAAAAATATCTAAAGTGCATCGGATTTCATCATCCTATTCTACGCAGATATAGTAGTTAAACTAACAATTGAGGTCATAGAAGCTTTTAAAAAACAAGGACAATTGTGTTTGCTTTGATAGGGCACGACAACAAGATATTTACTAGTGAGACAAGGTTGGGTCACATGATGAAAAACACATTTCAAAACTTCTAGAAAGAAGGCCAAGGCTAGACAACCTCAGTTTGATGTCAATAGCTTGTTTTGTCGGGAAAAGAAGATTCTGGAAAAGAGAATGTCAAGGCTGCCAAAACTTGTTGATTTTCAGTACACCATAACTCTGCGTAATAACCCACTTCCTACAAACAAATAATAACTTAACTCTGTTACAGACAGTAAAAGATCTGTTAATCCTAGTGACTAATATACAGGATTGACAGAATTCACCAGACTTCAAACATCCACTGCCAGATGTGGGAGGAGGCCTCAACTCAACTGAACAGAACATCCTGGAAAGATAAGTGGAGTAGGCCAGTACCTGCAGTCAATCCTAAAAAAGTGTGCCAGTTTCCTAGGTCCAAAATTCAGTTTGGCAGTGATGATTATGGCTGTTGATAGGGACAATCCAGGAGTCCATCTGGGGAAGCATATTCTTTGCTTCCTTAGCTGGTTTGATTGATCTTTTCTTCATTTTCCTACAAGTGTTGCACTGACTGCATTATGTTTTAGTATTGCATACTCTGTGGTTAGTGTCCATCCTGAATAGTTCTTAACTTGTCTTGAGTATGTGTTGTATTTTTATACGTCATGTTATACTGTGTTAATTCGACTATCTAGTCTGGGGACTTAAAAGTAGTGGGGAGTCAGTCCACGTTGCACACAGGAATGTTTATTGATTCTGTAGTGCCATAATTTGAGTCGCCTCACTTATAAAGTAGGTTGGATGTTCATTGGAGTTGCGGGATACTGCCTAGAGCATTGCGAGGCAACATCTCAACACCAAAACTACTTCAGAGTGCCTTTTGGTTCATTAGGAGGAACCCTACAAAGGCACGTGACATTATGTGACAGACAGAAATATGTAAAGTTACACATAAACTGAAAAAATATCTACACACAGTACAGTTAGCACCCACTTTAACGCTGTGGTACTGGTGACATTTAAACAACTGTCTAGTTTTTGTTCACATTAAGTAAAAACATTAACATTAATACTAAACTGAAAATTGTAATTCTAGTGTCAAGTTAGTATTGTTGCATGGAGCGCAAACATGAAGAACAACATAGCAATTACTAATAAACTATAAACAGCATTTCTTTACTGGTGCCTGCACAGAATAGAGAGAATTAAATTGTATGATAGAATCATTAATGTAGAGCTTTCAGAGAGAACTTAACAAATTCCAGTGGACCAAGAGGTGAAGAAAAGACGGTGGCGTTGGATAGGACATACTTCGAGAAAACTTGAAAACAATATGACTAGAATGTCTTTGCACTGGAACCCACAGGGGCAAAGAAATACAGAAAGATCAAAAACACACGTAGAAGGAAGCTTGAGAGTGAAAAAGATAGGAGGACATTGGGAAAGCTGCATGCAATAGCGAATTAATGAACGACCATGCGTGGCGTTGGCTAAGGGTCTGTGCTCCACTGGAGGTTGACTTGGCAGAAGAAGAAGTAAATAAAATAAAGTAAAAAAATCTTTAAAAAGTTACCAAAAAAAAAAAAAAAAGACTCCCCAGGGAGCATTCAAAATATGGTGCTAGTTCCATATTATATAGAGACTCATCATCCTTTGATAAGTGAAGTGACCAACTTACACAGGCTGCGTTTACTTCCCAGCTAGGAACCCAGGTCTTTAACAATCAGAATTTTTCATTCGAAGTCGGAGTGTATCTGCCGGAGAGGCGAGGAACCAACAGTCTGCATACAAATAAACAAGATCTTGAAAAGGGATGTGGACACAAAGCTTAAGTTCGGGAACAAGACTAAAATTCCAGAAGGGGACGAACAACCTGATCTTTCCACCTGAGTTTACAGCCGGTGAAAACGAGGAATAAGAAAGGAGAACAAGCTAAACCTGTCCATACCAATCACCAAACACCAGACAAACCTACCAGCCAGTGGGCTACCACAACTGCCTATAGAGCGCAGTCATAGATTCTTTTGGGTTCTGTTCACGTGGTTGCCAGATTTTTTGGTGGTTTACGGCTAGGCTGCGATGTCTGTTCCTTTCAACAAATCCAATTTAAGCAAACCCCTAATTAGTCGTTTCTGACTTGTTTGTTAGGGGGAGTATATCTATTCCCTCTTCCCCACACAGGGCTCTGAACCTTAAAAGTTAATCAGTGATTGATGTGGCTACATTCCCCCCAAAATAGGACCGGGTCTTATTTTATTATTATAATGTTTTTTTTTTTTTTGCTTTCAAAAATTCATCAGGATTATTTCCGGGGAATGCCACTGTTTTAAGATACAAAATCTACATTTATTCATGTGCACAATTTTTCATGTATTTAAATACAGCTATGTCAACGTCTTCTGGAACATCGTCATGACTCTGCAAGTCCAGAATTTAGACCGGCATTTTTCTATTTCCTGTAGAACCAATGGCCACAGTCTTTCATTCTATCTTGATTCTTGACTATGGCTTATTTCTTTCGGTAGGGCTTATATTAAAAGCTTAATGAATATCGTGACAGGGCTTTCTTTTGTTTTTGTTTTTGAAATAGGTCCTATTTTTGGAGCAAATACTGTATGTACAGAATATGGCAATACTTACTCATCGAACACTATCCTGCCTCTTTCATCCGCTTTCTTCCAAGCCGCCATGAAACCACCGACCTCGTTGCAACCTTTGATAAACACGGCCAGAAGACCAGCAACCATCATCACAAACTGGAAAGTGTCGGTCCATAGCACTGCTTTCATCCCGCCCTGTTGATGTATATAAGGTAGGAAATTGTTGGCACCTTTCCGTCTGTCCAGGCGATAATATTGTACAGGGTCATCGAAAATGATTGTCGGTATTTTAAGTCGTTATTACAGAAGAAGTATTTCTTCTACGATCCTTCTGTCTGAAAACTTATATCAGGAGGGCGGTAGCTTTTATGAAAGCTATCGTGCAGTCCATATCTCCCCGTGTACTATACAGTTTTGTCTTTAGTGTAGATGTAACAGGCCAGATTGCGTCTCTGTTGTCAGCATTCAGTTGAAGAAGAAGTATTCAATGTATTTAATCTGGTGTCGCAAAATATGCAGAAAACTTATAATTTCGTGTGTCCTGGTGTGACCGCGAAGCCTAAAGTGGAACTGAGAAGATCAGGAACATCCAGAACCTTAAAGAGCGGATGAATCAATATAGCAATTGCAGCTGTAACTATGGATAAGATTCAGAATACTTGGCAGGAGACTGAATACCGTCTATACATTACCAGAGCTACAAAGGACGCCCATAGCGAATTGTACTAAGTACTAAGGTAAGTCTAAAACTCTAAACTTTTCTGAACATTTTGAGACGCCAGATGTGTATATTCATTAAATACTACTTAGATACTACAGTTAAAATTTCCGGCAATTATTCTCGACAACCATGCATTGAGTTACATCGAGACGCTGCGATCATAGCCCATGTCAGTGGAGAGTGTGACTAGCAACAACCGTCTGTGTTAAGAAGTCTTCCACAATTAAAGCAACTGATTTCAGGACCAGTGTTGGTACCACCCAGTCAGCAGCAGCCAAAACCCCGCCAGTATAGACGACGGGGGAAACAAAAAAGTTTTTCATTTTTGCTTCCTACAAATCAATCACAGAGCACTGTTGCCATTGCAGACATTTAATGTGCTTTTTCTGAAACGTCCAGCTCTTATCCTGTCTGCAATCAATTTCATCTTTTTCGTATTCGCTTTCTCTCTCTCTCTCTCTCCCCCCCCCCCCCCCCCCCATTCTGGACAACCAATGTATGTGGTAGATTTTCTCAGTATGATGCAAGTCTTTGAAATGCCACCCCTCAATGTTGAAAATGTATTTTGATTTGGCGGTGTATGCCGTCCCCTTAAGTGTCACCTGCTGCTGCCGCCTTTCTGTATCAGACCATGGAACGGCCCTGCATGCAACACAGTCTATGGCATCCTTTTCCCACGACTCCGCTTCAACACAGGTACCCCACACGCCCCATTTGCACACATGTGTATGCCAATGTAGGTAAAATAATATGTGTGTACAATATAGGTAATTTCATAACAGTATAGTGTTACAGTACTGAATACTCCATATTCTTCCATATGCTCTAGAGCCTCAGTTCGACATCACAAATGTATGACAATTATTGGCACACATGACCATTCTAATTTTTAATACGCTGTGTATCTGTCATGATGTTAACATGTCTCGCATGTTGAAAACATAATGTTCATCCATATTCTCTTATTGATATCTAACTCACTTCTGCCATCAACTGTTATTATTATTACATGTCAAAAATAAGAAATTGCGTGTCCTAGTAAATGTCTATAATTAATTTCGCAGAGAATTTCTATACATGGCTAGAAGAGACCTCTTAGCCCTTTTACAAAATCATGGTGGTGAGGGTGCGGGAGTTTCGCACCGCACCCCTCCCCTCCTCCCGCAGCTCCCCCTTTCCCCCTTTAAAACTTGTAAGGAAGGGAAGAGAGAACTGTTGATCAGTGCAGCATAGGAGAAGTACAAGTTGTACTTACCAGTGTCGTGTAGAAAGTAACGACAACCCCGACTCCAACCAGACACCCCCATAAGTTAATTCCAGTCACTGGGTGGAAAAATATAAGACTGGTAAAATATAATACAGTGCACAAACATTACATTACAGTACTACTGCTATAAATTTTTAAACTTGAGAGAAATCACAAATCTAGCCATTCCTTCTGTGGGTTGACATTTTTCGTAATTTGAAGCCCTACTATGGCTCTTGCCAGGTACCGCAATATAGCCCGGACATAAATATTGCCTAATAATTCAGATTATTCTCTATCATCATTTTCAGGATGAAATTTTTTATTTGAAGCTCCACCCTGGCTTTTGCCGGGGGCCGCAATATAGTCAGGCCATAAATATGGCCAAATGTCTGAACTCGGTTTCTGGGACCTCTCCACGGCGATCCTCATCCGCATGGTGGCACTTTGTGTCATCGGGTGTTTATCGCTTGTGTGATGTCCTGGTGGGTAAAAGAAGGAAGACAGTGACTTAGCAAGCTAAAATCGCCATGAGGTTAAATAAACCTGGTAAGGCTTAGGTATAATAAATATATACTTGATTCTGTTTTTTAATCGAACCTCACCAAGCCTGGAATCTGTACACCTCAGAATTCACATGGGGACATCAATTGTCAGTTATATATATATATATATATATATATATATATATATATATATATATATATATATATATATATATATATATATATATATATATAATGTTAATTATGTGACAGATGGGAAACCAGTTGTCATATATAATTATGTTATGCCAGTTATATTGATTGAGATTTGCCCGATTCCTATATATTTTCAAACCACGCAACGCACCTGTCATGAGTTTCACACCCATGTAAACTCACTCACTGATTCCCATTCTTTGTGATGTGAACTCATGTAGTTAAATTGAGAATACCTTTTGAAACATAATTGTATTTAAGCATGTTAACCCCTAAAAAAAGTTCTAGTGTAAAGAGATTAAAACTATTGACACATATGAATGGTTTATCTTTCTCTTTATGTTAAATCTTGTGGTTGGAAATAATTTCCTCGAGAAACTAATGGGGATGAAATGTTTCTTTTATCATAACCCCCCCCCCTCCCCCCCCCCCAAAAAAAATATCACTAATATAGACTGTTTTGTAGAATTACCATTCTTTACCTTAATCAAGAATGTGAAAACACGTTACTACCCTACTCCATATGTTTATGTCGTGTAACAATATATTAGGACTGAAGACAGTGTGGCCATTGGTACGAACTTTCCCAACTGTGTCTACAGGGACTGTTCAGTTGCTCTACTTCTAAGTGGAAGTTCCAGGTGGAGGTTCCAGTGCAGCTGCAGGTGTCAGATTGTCTAGACTGGACTAGAAGATTCGACCTTCCTGAAGTGTCTCCGAGACTGAGCCAGAAGCTGACCCAAGAAACAATAACTACAGATGAGTCACACAATCGTTCAAATGTCAGTCTGGGACCAGTATTTCAGTCTCCCCAGTCCCACGATATAATTATCTAATGATATAAACAAACGATTGTTTTAATGTTTCTTCCAGTTTTATTGAATTAATTTTGACTGTAATCACTGTATGTCAGTGAATAATAGCTACTATAATTTAACTATATACATATAAATATACCATTCACATAACGGTAGGGAATTAGATGTGGGCAAACCCCGAATCCTTTCTTTTAACCAGCAAAACTGGGAGATAAATTATCTTTTAGGATGTTTCACAGTTTGCGATTCCCTCTGTAGACTGCACATAGTGCATTGGGTAGAAAAAAAAGCGAATTCCACGCCACGCCACTTAGATTGCCTTATGTTCTGACCAGGAAACGAAATGGGGAAGCTTCTTTTCAAGAAGTGTCGTCACATCGTGACACCTACAGGAGAGAAGTGATTGGAGATTTAGGTCAAGGAAGGCAGATATAAACTGTACAATCCTTAGCACGGGGCTAAAGGGTACATAAGATAGTATTTGGTGTAGCCGTTTTCTGGTGGTTTCAATTTTCTAAAAGATCCGTGATTCGCCATGTTATTCTGGCAAATATGATGGAACTCGGAGTAACTGGGGTGTCAAAACAATTAGTCAGCCATTAGGCGATTCTGGATCATAAGACCTTGTTTTGCAGAAAGCGGTTCTATCTCTGTTAAGATTCCTTTTCCGTCGCCATTACAAGCCACAGGCAGATGGAATATCTCAAGTCATGAATACCAAATATACGCAGCACACACACACACACACCAAGAGTCGCACAAAGAATAAGGAGGAGGAAAAAGAGAAGAAGAAGAAGGATTAGTAGTAGTAGTTGCAACAGCAGCAGCAGTAGTACTAGTATAATAGTAGTAGTAATTGTAGTAGTAGTAGTAGTAGTAGTAGTAGTAGTAGTATTAGTAGTAGTAGTAGTAGTAGTAGTAGTAGTAGTAGTAGTAGTAGTAGTAGTAGTAGTAGTAGTAGTAGTAGTAGGAGTAGTACTAGTAGTAATAGTAGAAGTAGTAATAGTAGTAGTAAAAGTAGTAGTTTGCAATCAGAATGACTAGGCCAAACAAGCTGCTATCAGAGAAGTATTAATAAAAGCTAGAAAACAGAATAACCATAACACACTTGAGGAAAAATACGGCACCGCTAAGTAAATTTCTTGTACATGAACAACTGAAATATTTAGCTTACACTATGTGTGGGTGACTCGATCTCTTGACCCTTGTTTAATTTTCAGGCAGAACCGTCTAAACGCACGGGCCCGCCGGCCACTAGCCAGGGGGCCCCAGAAGTATAGTGGCCCCATGCTATTCTGTGTATATGTTTAATATTATCGACCATCTATATATTTCATTAACCTGAGTGGTTGTGGTTTGGGCCCAAGCACACTAGTTTTCCAGGGTCCGATAATGCTGTTAAGAAGGCTGTGGGTTTTGGATGCCCCTGGTGATACCCCGCCCCCCAACTACCACCACCACGACCACTCCCAACCCAAATAACCAGGAAAAATCAGGTCCAGTGGACCGGATACTCTGGGTCAAGGTGACAAGTGATATTAAGAACAGGAATCCCGAATTTGCGTCAACAGGAACTAACTTTATCTGTTGTTTTGAGAAAGAAGTGTGCAGGATAAAGCACTTGTTGATAATCACTCCGGTTGTTATATTTCGCATCGCACAGTTTAGCAATCAGCTGAGGGTAAATGTGTAAGGGAAGAATAAACAAAACTGAAGTTATAGGGATTTTTGATAAAGGCCGAAAGAGTCTAAAATGTATAACAAGAAATAGCCTTGGAAGTAAAGACTGTAGGATTGATAACGATCATATCACCCACTGTATACCGACTGCTGAATGAACAAATATATGAAGCTAGCATACTCAAATTCTTATCAACAGTACTCTGTTAGTATGAAAAGTTGACATTTTTCTAAAGACCGAACACAAATAGTCACGACAGAGATGAAATCTTTACGTACAAGCTAACTGTAACAAGGAAAGATTGACTTAAAAACGATGACATCAGGAGGTGGGTCTGCACAGCACCAGTACTTAACTTTATCGCTAGCTCAATGATCAAATGACAGTGTTGAATAAAAAATCGACAGCATAACCCATGGGACACTTCCATAAGCGCTCCATTCCCATCTTCAGCAGCAAGCGAAGAGTTCCAATTGCGACAGTACCAGAAACCATAGATCAAATGGGTTGGCCACGTACCAAGATTGACACCAGACAGGTATGTTATACACATACAGCGGTAACAGAGCCAGTGATCAGCCATGCAAAGTATGGACTGCGGAAATAACGGTGACGCTGAAAAATACTATACACGAAGCGAAAGGACCAGTCCCAAAAATCTCTTCCTGCCCTGACGCCGCGAGGCATTCCAGTTAGAGAAAAGAACAAGCAGAAGAACATACTCAAAACGCACTAAGTATTAAAAATCGACCACAGCCGAATTTACCGCCCAGTCTGTATACTGTTTGAGAACATAACCGTGGCTTAGGCGTTGCGAACATGCTTTATAATCCCGCAACTGCAGTTAGCTTAAATGCCATCTACCCAAACACAATGTATACAAGTTATCTTATTATGTATTTAAAAAAATACATTTCATATTATTCCAAACAAAACTATTTTATTCATTCATAAATGAGCACCCCCGTGTGGGTTCCGGGGCCCCATTGTGGGGAAAACAAGAATAGACCCACTGCCTCCCCAAAAGCATGTCGTAAGAGTCGACTAATTGGGGAGCTTCCTTTGAAGTCAGAGTGCATCAGCCGGAGAGGCAAGGAACCAACAGTCTGTATTCAAGAGAATGAGATCTGTAAAACTGATGCACACGCAACACTCAGGTTCTAGAGCAGGACTGCAGTTCAGTAGTGGACTGGAATGAGAATGAAGAAAGACATGATTACAGAAAGATACAAGCTGAGCGTCTTAGAAGAAACACACTAAGCATAAACGATGGTAACAACAGTTCAGAATTCAAACGATGTAATTATGGAAGCGCGTTCGGGTCTTGTTAGTCACACTCGCCATCACCATGGGCTGTGAGACCAATGCCTCCTCGTAGCACAATATAACACTATAGTTTGAAAAGACGGAAAGGTGCCACCATACTTAATGCCCAGAATCAAAGAAATAAGTGGAGTTCTAAAAATCACTGATAAAATAATATAAACTCAGAGGTGCTGAAGACGGTGAGAACAAGGTATGGGTTGCATTCGATAGCAAGGGATATGACTATAGGTTGTCAGTTGGTTAAGGGCCTATTTTTTTAATAGGGGATAAAGAGCAAGGAGGAAAACAATGTTTGTTGTTGTTGCCAAGGAGCTATCCCAAAATAAAGACACCCCACCCCGATAGCACAGTGGATGCACTCTCGTCGGTGGAGTCGAAGTGTTTGAGTTAAAATCCACACGTGCTGCCCTGCTCCGCCCCCTAGTCCCTCTCTTTTGACCTTGGCTCTCGGGTCGACCCAGATAGTGTCCTGGGAAGTATAGACGGCTAGCGTGATGTTAACAGCATTACCTACAGGGTGCCGACCTATCCATACAATATGTCTAGCATCCTCTGCCCAAGGCTCCACTGGCAGTGTTGCCACTTTGGATGTTTTACTTCCAGATTTAGATTTTTTCCCATGCATTTAGATGGCGTTTTTGACGTTTAGATGGTAGATGTTTTCCATTTGGAGTGAATTTATCAAATCTAACCTAAGAAACAGGATGAAATTTGACCTCTCAAATGCTATCTTGACAATAAAATTTGGCCTGATAAGAGTAGAAAAAGGCTGTTCCACTTATCAGCTCCCTGATTGGGTATTAAGAGAAACTGGAACAGCTAAAGCATACCAGTTATTTTGGATCTGAAGCTTCAACTTCCGATGCCGATGCCATTTGTCCAAGAACAATTCCAAACTTGATCCTCTTTCAGCCGCCCGGGGGCTTGCTATATCGAAGAAGGGTCCTTTGCTTATATGGTTTCCTTTTATTTGTGGTGTGTAGTCACACCTGATATTATTGTTGTTTGCTTCCTTGCTGTGCTGCGTTGTTTGCGGTTTTGGGTTCTGGTGTGATCCAGATCTCTTTGCGATGATATTGTTGGGTACTAGCTGACTGTTGCTGGTGCTTGGCTTGCCTCGTGCTGGTCGCTGTGCTGGTGCCCTGTTGCTGCTTGGTTGCCGATCTAAAAGCCGCCGGAAAAAGCCAAACAAATATCCGTTGCTCCGTCGATACACACAATGTTCCTTTTCAGGACAACCAGGGCCGTCACAATCTGTTGTTGTGATCGGCCCCAAAAAAAAACAAATTTTTTTTTTCCCACGGAGTGTGGAGAAGTAGTGGACGTAAGATAGACTGCAAAGGAAGGGTCAGTTTGCCCGAATGTGCCAGTAGATGTGATAGTAAGGTCGGGAGAATGAGAGTGACAGATAGATTGAGGGATGTGGCTTTTCGTCGCTGGAACTTCTCGTGGGTTGAAATCCAATGTCCTGAAATAAAACTAGAGGCATTGTTAATGTTCATGTGATTGGGGGGGGGGGGGGGGGGCTTAAGAGATTCTGGAGTTACCGAGTGCTGGTCCCCTTTGGTGCAATGTCTTCAGCGGTCTGCTTCAGCTTCAACTTCATCATCCAAGCTAAGTTTATCCTGTGGATCTTGTAAGGCAGACTTCAGTAAAGATGAGGACATGATTGTATAGGTTAAGTCATATCAATTGCGATGTTTTTTCTAGATGTTTTCCACGCAAATTTAAATGTTTTAAGATATTTTTTGACTCCGTTTTGGATGTTTTCTGTCAAAGAAAAGTGGCAACACTGCCACTGGCAAAAAAGGTGTTTACTCCCCCAGGCTCCCTGCCTATCACACAATAAGCTGTACGAATCATTGTTGCTGTTGATATCAGTGTTATGGTCTACACTACATCTTACCTGCACTCAACGCTAGAGATGGAGCATACAAGACAAACGCCATGTAGATCAACTGAAAAAAAAAAATTGTGATAATTACGTGAAAACTACAAGATCCAAACAATAACACTATGGGCTAAAAAATAATAATCAGGAAAGAATGAGTTTAAATTTAGTTGTAGTAGGCACTAATGATGCAGTCTTTTTTTTTTTTTTTTTTTTGGTGAGACATGAAAGAGAATTCTTAAAAGCTATATAAATCCTATCTTGATATATGGAAGCCAATCATGGACATTTGGTATGAATACAAGTGCACTAAGATACATGGTATAGCATGGTATATACAACTATAGCTTTCTTAAATGTTTGTGTATTCTAGACAAAGCAATAAGGTCTTACTGTTTTCGTAAATTGTTGCTGTGATTGTTATTCGACATTTGCTTCGTTAATATGAATTTCTGTAACCTATGGTGCCATTTCAATGGGTTGAAATGAATTCTGTCCGTATTCCATAGTCGTGGATTTCAAGCTGTACGATAGACATGGCCAATGAGACACCTTTTTTGGGGGTGCCGAGTTGACCATGTATCTTAGTGCACTTGTATTCATGGCGAGGCGCAAACGCCGTCTGGAGGTGACAGGTTCAATTCCCGGCACGGTAACTATAGCTTTCGATTTTTATGTTGTCTAGTGTGTTCTTCTATCTTTCTACTTCTTTCTATGAGTGCCGCTCACAATACTTTCTGTTACTTGATTAATTCAGTTACTCAGGAGCACAGTGGGCGGGTAAATTTGGTCTCCTATTTAGCTGTAACGGAATAACTACTCTGCCTTTGCTGTTGGATTTTATAGTAAAGTTATAAAATAAAATATTTATATATTTTAATGTTTCCTTTATGTGTATTTTTTAAAACCGATCTCCCAACTACGGCGTTTCTCATAACAAAAAGCCTACACAAAGTTTGCTTGTTTAAAAAAAAACAAAAAAAAACTGAACCTGATGTGGAAACACAAGTAGGGTTTCGACCAGGCATCTGAGAATGATCTAGTTGATTACACATCCTTCTCATGACGTTGCAAACCAAACGAAGCATTTGTTGCCTGTTTGGAGTTTTACTAGACAAATTACGTTCAGTAGCATGGAAAAGACGGTGATGGAAGGTGCATTTTGTGGAAGGCGAGGCAGGGGTCGACCACCGAAAAGATACAAGAAGGCCTTTCACAGGGTGCAAAATATAGGATTAGATGAAGAGTATATCAGAATTATTAGTAATCTATACTGGGAACAAATAGCAACAGTGAGACACAACATCGTCTCACCACAGATATAGATAATAAGAGAAGTATGTCAGGGATGTTTTATCCCCAAGCCTTTTCTACTTACATACAGAAAACATTTTTAAACAAGTTGATGAATTGCCTGGACTTAATTTTATTGGAAGAACAAGCAACAGTCTGAGAGAAGCTGATGACACAGTGTTACTAGCAGAAAGCGAGCATGAATACAAGACCTAGTGGATCAAGTCAACCAGCGGAGTGCAGAGTATGATTTAGATATTACCATTCCAACAATAAAATCTATGGTAATTAACAATGGAAAAAAGAGCCATCAACAGTACACACTCAGTAAACGGCGAGGTATTAGAACTAGTTACACATTTCTGCTATCTTGGACTCATAATAAATATATTAGGCAGAAGTGAGACAGAAATCAAAAACAGAATAGGAATGGCTTAAACTGTCTTTAATAAGATGCACAAAATATTGACTGCACAAAATATTGACCGCTAGAGAGATAAATAACACATTAAAATGAGAACTGACACAAGTTATGTATACTCAACCCTGCTTTATGATGCAGAAACTTGGACAATGAACAAGCAAATGGAAAATATAATTGGGTATCTGGTATTGTGGATATAGAGAAGAACAGGTGGTATTTCACGAAAGCAAAAACAGTTCAGCACAGAGGTTATGGAAAGCCTACGAATGAAAAGAGAATTACTGGGAACAAAAGGAGACAACTGAAATAATGTAGCCATATTAAAAGACATAACATTCTTTTAAAAACCATCTGGAGGGAAAAGTCGAGGACAAGAAAGCAGGAGGTAGACAACGTTGCAAAAGGGATGACAGCATCAAGAGATGAACGAACAGCAGTCTAAGAGAGTGTACAACCACGAAAGAGACTGAGCATACTGGAGATCGACTGCAGCAAACCTTCATTGTGGAGACGACACCTGATTGAGGGATTGAACGCAAAGCAGTCTTCTGTCAGATCACATGCAATGACTTCAAACAATGGTATGTATAATTTTAAAACCGCGTAAACAGCCATTATGCAACAGAAAGAGAAAAGCAACAGGGGGGAGAACCTGCTCAGTCGTAGGAGCTTTGTATTCAGGAATAATCAAAGCTTCTCTAGCATGAAAAGTTATTTCTTTGTTGGCTGGCTTGCTAAAAACCGTTTACAAACAGTGTCGTATTCTTGTCTTGTTGTCTCGGCCTATTGTTAACTCTTACTTCTGCAGTTGTAGACATACCCGGGAAGTTTTTTATTTTTAAGTGTCTACCAAATCACTATATTCACAGTCTAAGTAACTAATGAACGGCGTTGCCCCTACTAGATCTCTGATGTCAGTATTTCATATATTTTACATTGATTCGCTCTATTTCAGCTTAAATGTTTATTTCCTAATGTTGCATACACGGGGAGAGCGGTGGTGGAGGGGAGGAGGGGGGGGGAGTCTCTGTAGCAAAGTGGTCGTTTGCCTCGCGCTCTGAAGGTCCTAGTTTCGTTTCAAGACTGCGTCGTTCGGTTTACGAGTGCAGCTTTAGGAGAACCACGGGGATCGTCGTCAAAGCTACAGAGTTCGCGCTGATGTCTCCCATTATTTTACCGTCCCAGTGTATTTAAGTGTCTACACAAGTGGTTCCCCATTAGATAAGATACACTGGCCCCTGTGTTTTTCCCCCCTCTAAAGCCTGTTACGGAACCCATACTTTTAATAGTCGTATTTAAAAATATTTTTAGTCGTAGGACCTAGGCTTCACTCTCTTGTGAGACGTAGGTGGGTTGGGTTAGGCCTAGTTCGAGATTTTTTTCTGGTAGTTAACAGCATTAGAAAGCCTGGAAACTCATTCTTACCACCCTCGAAATATTGGACTGTCCTGTGACGTCATCGGGGGTGGGGGAGTTGGGAAAACACCCAGTAAACTCTTGAGGAAAGGTCTGATTCCACGTCCACGTCTGGACGTTTAGCTCCAGTATTTGAATTCTGCGTGCCCATGTTCTTCACAGCTCTGGCAAACTGTTCGTTCTTTTTCTCTCAAAGTAATCCTCTCCGACTTCGAAGGAAACACCCTAATTTGTCGTCTTTTACGACATGCGGCAGTGAGTCTTTTCTCATAACGCACCCTTCATTCGTTTCGCGGACCACCGGGGTCCGCGGATCATCAGTTGGGAATCTCTGGTATACGCTTTGCTTACAAATGTTAAAGTAACCCAGTTGCTGACTGACTGACTGACTTTCTACCCCACCAGGACATCACACAAGCGATAAACACCCGATGACACAAAGTGCCACCATGCGGATGAGGATCGCCGTGGAGAGGTCCCAGAAACCGCGTTCAGACATTTGGCCATATTTATGGCCTGCCTATATTGCGGCCCCTGGCAAAAGCCAGAGTAGGGCTTCAAATGACAAAAAATTTCGTCCTGAAAAGGACGAAACTGGATATAACCCAGTTGCTGAGTCTGATGTAAGAATATGAGACTTTATAAGGTAGAGCGACCAGGTACACTTTTTTCTCCCCTGTCTCTTTTTTTTTTCTATCTATATTTTGCTTCTAGCTTTCATCTTTAGTTTGTTCGTTCGTTCTGTCTTTCCAGACGATAGTGTTGTATTGTGCAAAGGGGTGGCATGAGAATCACACTCCATGGCGATGGCGAGTGGGATTAGAAAGACCTGCCCGCCGGAAATAAAGTTCTTTCCCTTCACAGCATAAAGTATTGTTACTACAGAGACCATGTAGTGCCCACGCAGCATGATCCCTCTCTCGTCCTGCTTTAATAACTCAAAATGAAAGATAATGCCAATACCCTCGAAACAAAGCATGCCGTAGAAGCTGCAGGATCAGAAGAGCAGTACTCCTGTCAGAGCTTCCTTCACAGAACAACAGCCAAGGCTAAGGCCCTTGTCTGATCTGCCATAGCATTAAGTTTTCACACTGCATTCCCTCCTCTCCTTTCAACTTTAAGCGAAACTAAATTCGGACATTTTGCAAATGAATATGCCTTGTCTGACAACCAGACATTGTTATCTATATAATACACTCCTTAATTTTGAAATACCACACACTTCGATCTACGATACGCTGCTTAAGAAAGAAGTAACATTTAAGTCACAAGCTCTGATGTACTTACTCATAAGAAATGGTGACAAAATACAGATTAGCTGGAGACCATTTATGGAGTGGTTTAGTCATAGACTAAATAGTTCCGGGAGATTCACAAACTGCATTGTGATACTTTAAAATACGGAAGTTGTAACTGCGTTAAACGATATAATGATTTAGCTGTTAACATTGTGTTTTATCATCCTCTTCATCTTCATCATCATCAACATCTCCACCATCATCATCCTCATCATCATCGACTTCATTATATCATCGTTATATTCTTCACCACCATCGTCATCATCAACAACATCTTCATCATTATAACCATCATCTTCATCATATTTTTATCCTGATCTTCACCATCATCATCATCAAATTCCTCCTCATCATTACCATAATTATCATAATCACCAAGTTTTGTTTCAATCAACACATAATGTTAAAAACAATTAATTTAAATACGAAATATCTACTGTCATTTTCGGAGGTTGTGCACATTGTGGTTACATGGACATTACTGGGAATATGTCCTAGCATAACTTCACTACTGCTTACATGATGTTTGTGTCCAAGAATTTAAACACACACAATCGTTTAGTGGGATGTTTTATGTAATTATAATGTTATCTAGAATTTCATTTGTTTTCTAGTGTGTCTAGAATGTAATCTAGA